AACACCAATAGAAGTTGGTCTGCAGCGCAGCAGAATAAAAACTCATAATTCAAGAGGAAGAAAAAACAAAATTAATTTAAAGGGCTTGTTAGAAGTACAATTTGCCCTGATGCCTAAAGGCAGTCAGTTTTCAAAAGAGATGATGTGATATAATGGTAGCATCAACCTAGGAGTCCCAGGTTCAAATTCTGTTAGGCTATGAAATTGCTCTTAGACCAGCTACTCTCAGCCTAAAATATCTCATAGGGTGAGTATTATGAACTGAGATCGAGGCAGCTTCTTAAACAAGTGATTCATTTTATTCAGCTCATAACAAGCTACATAGAACAGGGCTGACATATACGATTTGAACGGGCAAAGCCACACACCGCAAACAGATAACAACCAATAATGTGTACATAACAACCAATGGGTGTTGTTCCCTCCAGAACTATTCCTACCCTCTGATTGGCCCACTGTGCAACGCAGCCAATCAGAACGTGCACTTTAGAATACCAGGCTTCTATAGAGCCTTGTCTGAAGCTCAGGCATACTTGTAGCATTACAGGGTAAGAACACATACATCACCATTGCAGGTATGGGACCAATGAGATTCATTCCCACCAGAAACAGAGTCGTGGTCTCCCCCACAACCAGCACAGTTCTTTTTAGGGGCCTGCTGCCGCCTGGAACTCTTGCAGCCTTCAGCTCTCATTCGGTGAACGCCGTCGTCCTCACTGTCAGTGTCCTCCACGCTATCCTAGTTCGCTTCTCGTTCAGTAGACTGCAAACTAGCCTGTCTCGCAGTTGGTCATTCAAATCAGTAAAGTTGCATTGCCCTGCTGTCTTCCAGAGTGCTGCTACGTACTCAGCGATGGACTCACCCTTGGCCTGGTCATGCTTGTGGAAGGCATGCCTGCAAGCGATTTCAGAGGGTTGGGGGCGTTAAGTGGTCACACAGTTTTTTAGTGATTTCAGCCAATGCGGTCGTTGAGAGTTCTGCAGGCGCCACTAGCATCCGGGCCACGTTAAATATGTTCTTTCCGCAGACGCTCAGGAATGTAGCCTTTTTAACGTCAGGATCAGTAACCTTGGTTGCGGTAGTGTAGAACTCGAATCTGGAGACAAAGGTGTCCCAGTCCTTGGTGCTCACATCGAACGGCTCAACTGACCAATGGTGGCCATGGTAGACTCATTCTGATGTGGCGGCGGCAGCAGCAATGGCGGTGGCGCTGGCTCGCTGGTGTCACTTGGGACCAAGGCAACTGTTCCTTGGTCGTCCGTCATGACTCGCTCTCAGGGCCAAGGTGATTGCTCTTATGGTTCTGTGGGGCTACCTACCCACTGCATCCTGTCCTCGTTGCCAGTATTATGAACTGAGATTGAGATAGCTTCTTAAACAAGTGATTTCATTTTATTCAGCTCATTACAACACTGGACCACACTACATAGAACAGGGCTGATTTATATATGATTTGAACGGGCAAAGCCACACACCCCAAACAGATAACAACCAATCATAATGTGTACATAACGACCAATGGGTGTTGTTCCCTCTAGAACTATTCCTACCCTCTGATTGGCCCACTGTGCAATGCAGCCAATTAGAACATGCACTTTAGAATACCAGACTCTATAGAGCCTTGTCTGAAGCTCAGGCATACTTGTAGCATTACAGGGTAAGAACACATACATCACCATTGCAGGTATGGGACCAATGAGATTCATTCCCACCAGAAACAGAGTCCCCCTGGATTGGTCTGTCTCGCAACAGGGACCAATCCGACAGCCAGGTTTACAATACCATCGCGTCTATGGAGCTTGTGCCGGAAGCTCCAGCCCACAGTTACATTGAGCCACATCAGTGAATGTATGTCCATACATAACAGTGAGGATAGCATAGGGCATAAAGAGAGGCAGTCTTCAAGTGGAGGACAATTTGACTTCTACTGGCTCTTTTCCTAGGCAGTCATTACTTAGGTTAATACAAGGGCTACCACATTTCCCGTTGTCAGCTCTTTAAGGGGCCTGTGTGTTTCACATGGTCCTAGACGTTTGATCAATTACTGGCCATTATATTTAAAGTTGGAGGTTTTCCCATTTCAAAGTCTAGGTTTTCCCATTTCAAAAGTCTAATCCGATCCTACAACCACATACCATTTCATCTTTTTAAATTTACCTGACTCAGGATTAGGGCTTCAAACAATCCCCCCCCCCCTCTTCCCACTGCTTTTTTAACATTCCAGTCTGGTGAAGAGTTCTGGAGAAGTTAAAAACTTGCACACCGTGTTGAATTAATTTAGTTGGCCTTACCAAAAGGATTTACATGTTTTTTGTTTATGAAAGAGGGAAGTGAACGGTGTATACCATTAGGGTGGGGTAAAAAACCGAACTAACTGGCGCCAGGAGACTAGCTGTGCGGAGACTGACATTTCTGCATCCCCAGCGCCACATCTCTTTCTGTGACACAGCCAAATTTGGCGGGAAGAGCGAGGCTAATTCTCTGGGCGCCTGCAGGGTGCGCTGTGTTCGCCGGACTGCAGGGAGAAGTTGGTGGTGCCGCCGCTCTTTGGAAAGCGGGAAGAAGGTGGGAGAAGATTCCGTAGTTGCCTGGTGAACGCGTGTAAACAAAAGGGGGACGAGAGTGGCCTGGGGTAGCTGTCGCCGCTCTCTGGGCGGTGGTCTGGGCAGGCCGCGGGAAGTGGATTAGAGCGGGAGCCTAAACGGGTGAGTCGTCGCCTCGGCTGGTTTGCTTGTCCCAAGCTCTAATATTAATCAGGCAGGCTCTTGGTGGAGAAAGAGATCTGCGGTACGTGGAGTGAGTGTGAATGAGGGAAGGATCTCACTGTAGGTGAAAAGTCCGTAAAATCTCCTCCGAACATGACAAGTTGCAGAGGGTAGTAACCCTGTTGTTCTGATGTGGCATAAGGTTTACGAAGTGATCTGCTCCCGAAAGCTTGTACCACAGCAAGTTAACTTCTTGCCATTACGGTGCTGCAAGGCTCTTTGTTGTAACACCTAATACGAACACTGAGGGTTTATGCCAGCTCTTCTCCCCCACCCCCCTTGTGCTTTGCCGACCTTATTGTGGTACTTTTGACAGATGTTGTAATTATACCGTCCGAGCCGAATTTTTTGTTTTCAAGGCATGCTTAGATAGCGTTTTGTTGAATGCTAATGATAGTACTTTGTCTGTTAGGTTTCATTTTAGGTTTGCAAACCCATAATGCAAAGGATTGAGGCTGCTAACACTGACCCATTTAGCGCTGTTATCTATTTTTAGAAAGGAGTACGCTATCTATAATATATGCAGAGCAGGTAGAAGTCCAACAGGTGCAATTCCTGACAGAATATAGAAGTAGTGAGTGGAAAATGTTCCCCATTGAATTCTTGATTTTCAACCGCATGCTAAAGGAGAGTACTGATGGAGGAATGTGACAAGCCCTAATCCAATTCTGTTTAATGGATTTGAGGAAGATGATGGAGGGAATAGCCATACTGCTGTTTTAAAAGTGAACAAATGTATGTTCCAGCACAGGAGGAAAACATAAAGAACATAAAATTACATGGTCATGAAATAATGGATCATTTATGGAGTTGGGGGAGGGGTGCTGAGTTTCCAGTTCTTGCCATTTAAATACTTTAGATTAATTTTGATTCGAGTCCATGCAGCCACTGAAGAATTTAGAGGGGCAGGAAAAAACTAGAAGCAAATTTATTAAAAAGGTGCAGGCAATGAAAGGGGTTTGTGTTATTTACTACTACTGACATCACCAACAGTATTCAACATGTTCATTATTCTGCACATATGAAGCAATACAACAATGTTCTTCTAGTTATTGGCTTGAGAACATACACAGAGCAGTCTCTACATACAGTGGTGTAAAAGCAAGTGTTACAAGAAAATGAGTGAGATCTTTATAGTAAGAATGCAATATGTAACCCCAACAAACATTCACAAACATCCTGTGCTATGTGCCATTTTTTCAACGGTATCGGATTAGATGTACTAGTGCAGATACTTAAGCCCCAGTGAATACTGTGTTAAAAATAGCCAAATATCTAAAACAGAGAGCCACATTCACAATTGCCATCAACTAAAAGAGTCCCATTTACTTTGAGCGCCAGCATGAGGCCTGCACCTCACAGAGGCTTGCAGCTTACCCATTTTTCTGGTGGCAGCCATTTCAAGGTGAGAAGCACTGGCCAACCACAAGCCCCACAAGTATGTTTTAATGCCCTCTCCCCAGTTCTCAAGGTCTGTGTGCAGCTCTGGTTGTTTTTTCTTTGGCCCAAGGCAGTCATGGGATAAATCCCTAGCTTTGTTCTCTCCCTGCCCCCCAGTAGGTCATTGATCATATGCTGCTGTGCAGCCAGGGATGGCACTGCCACACAGCCTAGCTGGTCCCTTCTCAGTAGTTTCAGTGGCTAAAGAGGTGGGGGAGAATTATCCTTTTCTTTAATCCTGCCCTTTGCGCAAGGAGTTAATGGTGTCATATATAGTTCTGTCTCCCCACACATCTATTTTATTATCACTGCACCCCTGGGAAGTAGGTTATTCTGAGTGACTGGCCCAAGGTTGCCCAGTGCACTGAAAGAAGACAGGAAAACTGGCATTCGACAATCCACTATACCACACTGACTCTGAGTGAAAGGACACTCTGGCAATGAGTAGAAGTGGAGTATGCTGGTAGCTATTTTGTATTAATATAGCAGGACGCCTCTGCATTCAATTTAAACTTCTGTTGATGCTGAGTGATGTCTATGTGGGTTTGGAGGTGGTGTATAAAATGACAATGTGTGGATTTTATGTCAATTTTACACTAACTTTTCAAACAAGTCCTTCCGTCTACAGTGTTCTCTAGTGAAAAGTAGTCCTTAAGATGCTATTCTTTGTTTCCTGCAGAACATGTATTTTTTTAAATAGTGACGATCAAATATTGTGAAGAGAGATACATGAGGAAATCTGACAAAGTGAAATTTTAAGTTCTAAACCAGTATTGTATGTCAGTCAAGCAGCAATGGAGGAGATTCCAGTTAAAGTAGCAGTAAGAATAAGACCTCTGCTTTCTAAGGAAATACTTCACAACCATCAAGTTTGTGTGAGATTAATTCCAGATACTCAGCAGATTATAATTGGAAAGGACCGTGTCTTCACTTTTGATTTTGTTTTCGGCAAACTTTCAACCCAAGAGGAAGTGTATACAACATGCATTAAGCCGCTGGTGGCATCTTTGATAGAAGGATATAATGCTACAGTTTTTGCCTATGGACAAACAGGCTCTGGAAAGACTTACACTATTGGAGGAGGTCATATTGGTATGTTTTAAAAATGCTTATTTTACTGAGGTTTAGGTTGGTGAAATTACATAAAGCAGTACTATGTCTGTTCATTGTTAAGTGGTAAGACATTGATGTTCCTATCTACCTTTCTATCTCTTGCTGCTAGATGAACATGTAGACACCCCCAAGCCAGCTGTAAATTGCCATAATTTGTGTGTATATATATGAAAGGAGTTGGAAAAACTATATATCATGCCAGATGAAATTATTTTAAACTAACCCACAAAAACTCATACTTTCCAACTGCATGTGTGTAGATGGTACAACTTTGATTGTTGTACAACTTCTGTACAACTTTGATTTCTTGGAAGGTTTTACATCATACTTACAAAACTACCACCAAAGCTAAAACTATTTAGAAAATAACTATTTTTTTCTAATCCATGGCTTTGATCCCCTGGAAAACCTCAGCCGATGGAATGGATTTCCATCTCCCAAAGAGGGCTTCCATGGCAGCCCGAAATGCTGCTCCTGGGGGACAGGTGTCTCTAGGAACAGCATGAGGGTGGAGCTGGAGGTCTGGAATGGGAGGGGGAAATTGGCAAAAGTCCCCTACCTTCCTTGAGTGGAAATTTTGTGCTGACTCCAATCCACAGAATTGTCCTTCATGTTTATACTCATGAATTTCTAGCTTTCCTTCAAAATTCAGTCCCTTTCAAAGCCTTATTGTAATGTATTGTTCCAGTGTCAGGGTACTGTATGGCTTTCATTGTAGTTGTAATATACCACTGAGATTAGTCTCTTGTTGTTCAAATATTAATGATGTCAGCAGATGATCCCCCTGTATAGTATAGGGGCTACTTTGTATTTCTGGGGATTGTCGGTTGCAAGCTGTTTATGCTGCCAAGTTTCAGTCATGTTGATGAAGTAATTGAAGACTGAGGGTTTTTTCTTGAATCACGTTGTTGTTGTTGTTGTTCAGTCGCACAGTCGAGTCCGACTTTACATTACATTACACATTAACTTGCTTTAATATTGTTAGTACTGTATTCCATATAGAAAAAAGAACAAATAAGTTCTTAGCAATGCCTTGGCTTACTACATGAACAGAATTATTTGATCCTTTCAATAAATATAAAATTATCTGTAGTATTTGAAGGGGGAACCACCAAGGAAGTTCAGGGTTACTACACAGAGGTAGGCAATGGCAAACCACCTCTGATTGTCTCTTGCCTTGAAGACCCTACAGGGCTGCCATAAGTCGGCTGTGACTTGATGGCACTTTCCTTCACCCCCACCATTTGCAACAGATTAAGATCATGTTTATTTATATTTTCTTCATTGCATTATTTGTATTCTGCCTTTTTCCTAACTGCCCTTTTTACAACTGAAGACTGGCCCAGGGTTGCCAAAAGAATATCGTAGCTATGTGGGTGTCTGAATGCAGCCCCCCACCCCGGCTGTAATTGGACATTCTGCTGACTGCGTTGATGCTTTGTCTTTTTAAACGTGGCTGACTTCATGTGGACTCCCTGCTGTCTAGAAGATTTTAGCATTGTTTGAGATGCAAATAATTTAAATCAGCTTATATGTAACTTCAGCTAAGACAGGGGTTCAATATCATATTTTGTTTCTGAGGGTTTGGATTGCACATCTAGAATGACTTAATTTATCCTAGTGCCTTTGAGTTGCTAATCTATGGGAGAACCTGGTAACATAAACTAGCATTTTGCTGCTGGAATACTGAAAGTAAAGGTCCTAACATTAAATAAAATATCTAGTGTTCTAGGCCTACTGGGATGCTGATTGGCAGTTGTCTTCCACTTATGCATAAGAAAGGGACTGCCAATGGATGTGCACAACCTGCTGCTCATCTGTTAAAGACATTGGTGGATGAAAATGGCAGTATGTGTTTATAAACTGTTCCTAGAAAAGAGACCCTTATTACAAATACGTGTTTGAATACCTAGTCAATATATTGTCTTTCATGTTCCAGTGTTTTCCCAGGTTGCAACCAAATATTGGTATCTTCAGCAGCATGACTGATTTTGTGGGGTAGTGGCAGAACAGAATGACTCAAGTTAATTCAATTCAATTCAATTTATTACAGGTCTTTATGACCGAAGTCTTGACCAAGAGGATACCAAAGGGGGATAAAATAGGTACATAAAATAGACATAAATATGTCAAGGTACATAATAACAGTCACATAAAACCCAGGCTGAGCCCAGAGATTAAAAATTACCTAACTACACTTGGGGCGGAGCCAACTAACTAAAATCATCCGAAGATTAAAAATCGGTGTCGAAGTTTTCAGAAGTGCTGGACTTTTCAATGCTTCTTGAGAGCAGCCACCTTAGCCAAGAACCGCGCCACGTTAGCTGTTATCAGTCCATCGGCATTTGAGTCAGATAACAGTACTGAGAGCACCCAAGGTTGCGCGGGAAGATTCATCTTCGTGAGAATAGGAGAGATATAAAAACAAGCTTGGAAAGGATTTTAGGAAAGAAGGGGGAAACCCAGAAGGTGCACAAAAGTACCATAATGCTGTGGGGAAACATTACCCCACTACCCAGTAGAAATCCTGCTTGGTCAGACAGCCAGTGTGTAAGCAACTTGTGTCTTCAGATTTTTTTCTAGCATTTCAGTATGTATTTGCTTTGCATGTAAGTCTGAAAATACCTTAGCTGCATTCTTAGGTAATTTTTTGATTCATTTTAGTATCTGTTGCAGAGGAAGAGAGAGGTATTATTCCACGTGCAATCCAGGAAATATTTCAGATTATTTCAGAAAACCATAATATTGACTTCACTGTGAAAGTTTCGTATATAGAAGTCTACAAAGAAGAACTCCGAGATCTACTGGAACTGGAGACATCTATGAAAGATATGCACATCAGAGAAGACGAAAAGGGCAATACAGGTAGATAAAGTTAAATTGTGTTGTATTCTTAGCTACATGCCAAAAATAAATTTTGTAAACAAATACATTTTAAGCTTTCTTTTAAGCAATACACAGTGGCTTGTATCCAGCAGCAGTTTTCTGTTATAAGAACACTTTGGCTGCTGGAAAAGAAAGGGGTGATTTCTGTTAATCCCCCCAAATACACGTTGGCCTCATTGTATCCAGTGCTGTTCCTGGAGTTGGCTGAGCCCTAGTTTTTCATGGGATCATATGATAGGCTACAGCTGGAGCAGGAAATGGGAAAGTTCAGTCCTGAAAGCTCCTCTCTGCTTAATGTACCATTGGATATGTGCCAATATTCTTGCTCTGTAAAGCCTACACACTTGTTTAAGTACCCATTATTTTGAAATATTAATATAAAAAACAGTTGTTTTTCGTTAGTGTGAGTGGACTAATGAACTCTAATGAACTCTGATGAATTAACTCTAATGAACATATGTATTATCTTTGCTTAAGTTTCATAATGCTAAATTAAATTCTTAACCTAGTACTGAGAATGATATTGTTCTGGGTTAAACAGACATTTCAGTGAATTTCAAAGTGAGTAGGACAGCAACTTACTATTTTAAATTAACACATAAAGCATGATATTCTAGCTACAATCTGGAAATGTCCAGATTTACGTCGATACCGGGTAAATTGGTGGAAACCATTATTAAGGAAAGAATTAGTAGGCACATAGATGAACAAAACCTATTGAGGCAGACTCAGCACGGTTTCTGTAAGGGAAGATCTTGTCTCACTAACCTGTTAGTGTTCTTTGAGGGGGTGAACAAACATGTGGACAAGGGGGATCCAATAGATATTATTTACCTTGACTTCCAGAAAGCTTTTGATAAAGTTCCTCATCAAAGGCTCCTAAGCAAGCTCAAAAATCATGGGATAAAAGGACAAGTCCTTTTATGGATCAAAAACTGGCTAATTAATAGAAAACAGAGAGTGAGTATAAATGGGCAGTTCTCCCAGTGGAGGGGGGTAAGCAGTGGGGTACCACAGGGATCAGTACTTGGTCCACTGCTTTTTAACTTGTTCATTAATGATTTGGAGATGGGAGTAAGCAGTGAAGTGGCTAAATTTGCGGATGATACAAAGTTGTTCAAGGTGGTGAAAACCAGTGAGGATTGTGAGGCACTCCAAGGGGATCTGTCAAGGATGGGCGAGTGGGCGTCAACATGGCAAATGGGGTTCAATGTGGCCAAGTGCAAGGTGATGCACATTGGAGCCAAAAATCCTAAATATAAATACACATTGATGGGGTCTGAACTGGCAGAGACTGAGCAAGAGAGAGATCTTGGAGTTGTAGTGGATAACTCACTGAAAATGTCGAGACAGTGTGTGACTGCAATAAAGAAGGCCAATGCTATGCTGGGGATTATTAGGAAGGGTATTGAAAACAGATCAGCCAATATAATAATGCCCCTATATAAATCAATGGTGAGACCTCATTTGGAATACTGTGTGCAGTTCTGGGCACCACACCTTAAAAAGGATATTATAGCTTTGGAAAAAGTGCAGAAAAGGGCAACTCGAATGATAAAAGGGTTGGAACACTTTCCCTATGAGGAAAGGTTAAAGCGCTTAGGGCTCTTTAGCTTGGAGAAAAGACGACTGAGGGGTGACATGATCGAGGTTTATAAGATTATGCATGGGAAAGAGCAGGTAGAGAAAGAGGTACTTTTCTCCCTTTCTCACAATACAAGAACCCGTGGGCACTCCATGAAATTGCTGAGCGGTCGGGTTAGAACGGATAAAAGGAAGTACTTCTTCACCCAAAGAGTGATTAACACATGGAATTCACTGCCACAGGAAGTGGTGGGTGCTACAAGCATGGACGGCTTCAAAAGGGAATTAGATAAGCATATGGAGCAGAGGTCCATCAGTGGCTATTAGCCACAAGGTATAGCTAGGGGCTCTGGGGCAAGTGATGCTCTGTCTTCTTGGTGCTTGGGGGGGGGTCAACAGTGGGAGGGCTTCTAATGTCCTGGCCCCACTGCTGGACCTCCTGATGGCACTGGTATTTCTGGCCACTGTGTGACACAGAGTGTTGGACTGGATGGGCCTTTGGCCTGATCCAACATTGGCGTCTCTTATGTTCTTATGACAAGAAAACACAAACCATTAGCAGCTCTTTCCTCTAGGTAGTTGGTGGGTTCATATGTACTTGCTCTCCTACTACAGAGGCCCTTCTTATTGCAAGGAGTTACAAGTTCCCAATAGCTGTGGGTTGGGTCAAGTGGGGTGTCCTGTATCTTGCTCATAATATATTGCCAAGGCAGTTGACAATTTGGATGGTGTAGTATAGTGGTAAAGTGCATGGACTCTAATCTGGGAGAACCGGGGGCAAAACTAAGTCGTCCAGGTCACCCACCAAGGACAACAATTGGGCATCAGAGGCACCAATCCTAGCATTCAAGTCCCCTCCCACGAGTATCATAGCGGCGGGATAAGTCTGCTGAAGCTTCTCAACCGTTCCTTCCAACTCACTCCAGTGCTTTTCAATCTCTTCCTCTAGTAAAAGCGGGGGGATATAATTGTTCACCAGAAGTATGGTATGATCAGAGGAAGTCAATTTCAAAATAATCACCATCCGATAAGGTGAAGACATCAGAAGAGAACACATAGTCAGTGGCAAGTTGTTGGAGATCAAGCACGCCACACCGGCCCTGGGACGTCCAGGGCCGGAACCCTTAATTGCAGAGGAAGAAAAGGCCTGAAAACCAGCCACGTTTAGAGCCCCAGTGGACCAGGTTTCCTGTAACATAACAATGTGGTATTTCAGAAATAACTCAACAATAGAACAATCGTGTCTCTTTGCCTTCCACCCATTCACATTCCAAGAGAGAATCTGAAGCTTCTGAGTACTGAATTGTCAATCTGTCTTAGATTTGGCCCCGGTTCTCTCTACTTGGTCTGATACAGAGGTTGGATTTGAAGGGAGGGTTGTTATCTCCTCCACTCCCGAATCACAGAGAATGCAGCCATTTACAGGGAGCAAAGTCGGATTCTGCAGATGACGGAACCTCCGCTCGGCATCATCTATGAATGCGAGAGACTGCTGCAAGGTAGCTTCTTGTGGAAAGTTTCCACCGGTCGATTGTTCCCTCATATCGGATCCCATTGTCAATGGGGGGCCACCCCAAGAATGGTGAACCATGGCTGTGCACACCGATTGATGGGAAGTCGGGCCTCCAGAGTTAGCCTCAGTGTCGTGCAGGGCCTCACTTGCTCTAGATGGCAGATTTGCAGAGCCGTGCACTTGTGAATGGATATCCTGGTTGCAAACATTAGATCTCTTGTCCAAGACTTGTACTGAGGTCAAGACGTCATGCATATACTTGATATTCTGTAATATCGCCTCTTGCCCCAATGTGGATGGCTTCTCTGCGATCTTGCCATCTTCTACATTCCTGATGTCAAAAAGAGAGCTACCAGCCTTTCCCACTTCCAGAGTCTCCCTCCTGTTCTCCTGAACCGACTCCTTCATCTGAGATTCCACAGACAGGTCTTGAAAGGACCGAACCACCACTTGCCGAAAAACTCTTTGTGATCTTATCCTAAAAGACTTGAGCCGGGCACTGTTACCAAAAAGTAATTGCGGAATAAACTTAGAGGCAAAGGTAAGGGTGACTTTCATATGCTCTTTAGACTGGGAAACCAGCTGTGTATACTCTAAATCGACCTTCTTCAGAGGGATATCTAAAATTTGGCTTAGAAAACGTTCAGCCGAACGCTTAGATCTCCAGTTCATAAGCTGTCCCCTCCAAGGATGAATAATAAGTGTGACTTGATGTTGTTGAAGGATAGTAGAGAAATTGCAGTCGGACTTCCTAGTAAAGGGCTCCTCTGCACTCAGACCCTGTGCAGGATTTCTTCCTAATCTTTCACGACTGAAGTTAGTTGTATCATGGCCAGCAAATTTAATCTGCTCCCCTAGTTCTGCAATCTTAGACTCCATTCCTCTAACAAGAGAGATCAAAAACTGCAGCGTCTCGCCCACCAGTAAGCATTGCTTAGCAAAAAGGGCACCACCCACCCTTCCACTATCACCCATAAAATCAACCCCAAAGAGTAGTGACGGTTCCGTTTGAGTTGACCTGTCTACTCCTAGACAAGGACACTGGGTAGAGACAAAAGGAGGATCTAACGAGTCATTCACTGCCTGCGGGAAGCCCCTTATCCCAGGGGAGGAAGAGTCAGCCTGGTTGTTAGTATCCTGAGCCAATATCTTATCATAATGTGTGGCAATAAGCCACCTGTCCAAAGATTCTGTCCATTTAATTGCATATTTCTTTTTATGAGGTGGGGAGACCTCTGGGACCCCCACAATCCTAGACCTTTTCCCCATACTAGAAACCTTGGCAAAACTACTACAAAAATACTGGAAGAGTACAACTAAACCATGAGTAGTATAATGTTTCTTTTCGCAATTTGGCCAAACGATCCAGCTGGTGCTGCTAATTAGGCATGGTAAGTAGAGGCAGAAAACGCTGACACACCCAGAGGCAGAAGATACCGTCCTTCCGTTTCAAACTTCCCAGCAAGCAAACAGCGGCAGCAAAAAGTCCTCTTTCCTTCAGCAGTAGATAATGAAATAACCTTACCAAGACTTGCAGCTAAAAGTTTCCGTCTGTCCGTGATAAGGGTAATCTGCTACAACTGCAGACTGCAGGCTGCTTAACAAGCTTGAATCCTTCCTTGCTCACTCCCACCTTAACTCCAAGGCTAAACAGCAATTTCCAGCCTCACAAAATTCTTGCAAGTTCAATCAAGGTTCGGGAAAGAGGTGGGAAACAAAAAGCAGTTCTCTTGTTGAGCCAAATAATGAGGAAATAGAACCAAAAGAAGAAACTTGCCAGGAGCAGAAAAACACACGTCCGAGCTAGCTGATCGCGGAGAGAATTCACACCGACTCAAGTTAATTATGGGCATTTCTACATAGCAGTGCTGTCCTGTTCTTTCCCCATTGGTGCTGTAGCTGCTAATTCAGGGGCAGCAGAACTTTCTCATGTCAGGTTTTCCTGCATTTTCTCTGTCCCAGTCCACGGTAGCCATTTCCCCCTCCGCTTGCAATCAGGAAGCTATTTTTGTTTTTGTTTTGTTTTTTAAATATGTAATTGATATGTCAGTTTTCCATTATTATATTGACATATCCATTACCATTAAAAAAAGAGAAGCCCCTGGTGGTGTGGGGGAGTGACTGCCCAAGGGACTGAGGCAGGGAAAATGATGCCACTGAGGGCAGGATCAGGAAGATCTGGACTTTCCCTTCCACAATGAGTGCCACGTCACCCCAGTTTTGCTGTGATCTTTCCCAAAACTTTGCTGCAAAACAAGCTTGGAAAGGATTTTAGGAAAGAAGGGGGAAACCCAGAAGGTGCACAAAAGTACCATAATGCTGTGGGAAACATTACCCCACTACCCAGTAGAAATCCTGCTTGGTCAGACAGCCAGTGTGTAAGCAACTTGTGTCTTCAGATTTTTTCTAGCATTTCAGTATGTATTTGCTTTGCATGTAAGTCTGAAAATACCTTAGCTGCATTCTTAGGTAATTTTTTGATTCATTTTAGTATCTGTTGCAGAGGAAGAGAGAGGTATTATTCCACGTGCAATCCAGGAAATATTTCAGATTATTTCAGAAAACCATAATATTGACTTCACTGTGAAAGTTTCGTATATAGAAGTCTACAAAGAAGAACTCCGAGATCTACTGGAACTGGAGACATCTATGAAAGATATGCACATCAGAGAAGACGAAAAGGGCAATACAGGTAGATAAAGTTAAATTGTGTTGTATTCTTAGCTACATGCCAAAAATAAATTTTGTAAACAAATACATTTTAAGCTTTCTTTTAAGCAATACACAGTGGCTTGTATCCAGCAGCAGTTTTCTGTTATAAGAACACTTTGGCTGCTGGAAAAGAAAGGGGTGATTTCTGTTAATCCCCCCAAATACACGTTGGCCTCATTGTATCCAGTGCTGTTCCTGGAGTTGGCTGAGCCCTAGTTTTTCATGGGATCATATGATAGGCTACAGCTGGAGCAGGAAATGGGAAAGTTCAGTCCTGAAAGCTCCTCTCTGCTTAATGTACCATTGGATATGTGCCAATATTCTTGCTCTGTAAAGCCTACACACTTGTTTAAGTACCCATTATTTTGAAATATTAATATAAAAAACAGTTGTTTTTCGTTAGTATGAGTGGACTAATGAACTCTGATGAATTAACTCTAATGAACATATGTATTATCTTTGCTTAAGTTTCATAATGCTAAATTAAATTCTTAACCTAGTACTGAGAATGATATTGTTCTGGGTTAAACAGACATTTCAGTGAATTTCAAAGTGAGTAGGACAGCAACTTACTATTTTAAATTAACACATAAAGCATGATATTCTAGCTACAATCTGGAAATGTCCAGATTTACGTCGATACCGGGTAAATTGGTGGAAACCATTATTAAGGAAAGAATTAGTAGGCACATAGATGAACAAAACCTATTGAGGCAGACTCAGCACGGTTTCTGTAAGGGAAGATCTTGTCTCACTAACCTGTTAGTGTTCTTTGAGGGGGTGAACAAACATGTGGACAAGGGGGATCCAATAGATATTATTTACCTTGACTTCCAGAAAGCTTTTGATAAAGTTCCTCATCAAAGGCTCCTAAGTAAGCTCAAAAATCATGGGATAGAAGGACAAGTCCTTTTATGGATCAAAAACAGAGAGTGAGTGTAGGTGGGCAATTTTCTCAGTGGAGGGTGGTAAGCAGTGGGGTACCGCAGGGATCAGTACTTGGTCCACTGCTTTTTAACTTGTTCATTAATGATTTGGAGATGGGAGTAAGCAGTGAAGTGGCTAAATTTGCGGATGATACAAAGTTGTTCAGGGTGGTGAAAACCAGTGAGGATTGTGAGGCACTCCAAGGGGATCTGTCAAGGATGGGCGAGTGGGCGTCAACATGGCAAATGGGGTTCAATGTGACCAAGTGCAAGGTGATGCACATTGGAGCCAAAAATCCTAAATATAAATACACATTGATGGGGTCTGAACTGGCAGAGACTGAGCAAGAGAGAGATCTTGGAGTTGTAGTGGATAACTCACTGAAAATGTCGAGACAGTGTGTGACTGCAATAAAGAAGGCCAATGCTATGCTGGGGATTATTAGGAAGGGTATTGAAAACAGATCAGCCAATATAATAATGCCCCTATATAAATCAATGGTGAGACCTCATTTGGAATACTGTGTGCAGTTCTGGGCACCACACCTTAAAAAGGATATTATAGCTTTGGAAAAAGTGCAGAAAAGGGCAACTCGAATGATAAAAGGGTTGGAACACTTTCCCTATGAGGAAAGGTTAAAGCGCTTAGGGCTCTTTAGCTTGGAGAAAAGACGACTGAGGGGTGACATGATCGAGGTTTATAAGATTATGCATGGGAAAGAGCAGGTAAAGAAAGAGGTACTTTTCTCCCTTTCTCACAATACAAGAACTCGTGGGCACTCCATGAAACTGCAGAGCGGTCGGGTTAGAACGGATAAAAGGAAGTACTTCTTCACCCAAAGAGTGATTAACACATGGAATTCACTGCCACAGGAAGTGGTGGGTGCTACAAGCATGGACGGCTTCAAAAGGGAATTAGATAAGCATATGGAGCAGAGGTCCATCAGTGGCTATTAGCCACAAGGTATAGCTAGGGGCTCTGGGGCAAGTGATGCTCTGTCTTCTTGGTGCTTGGGGGGGGGGTCAACAGTGGGAGGGCTTCTAATGTCCTGGCCCCACTGCTGGACCTCCTGATGGCACTGGTATTTCTGGCCACTGTGTGACACAGAGTGTTGGACTGGATGGGCCTTTGGCCTGATCCAACATTAGCGTCTCTTATGTTCCTTATGTTCTTATGTCCATAACAATCCTTTCTTTTGCGTTGTGATTATTTATCTCCATTTAAAATTCCAGTCGTTGGTTTTCATATTTCTTTTTGGAAGAGTGAAAGATTGTAAATTGTATGAATTGTCATAGGTCTATTTCAGTATATATTTTGTCGTTGTTATTGAATCCAGTATAACTTTTTAAGTATGCTCAAAGTTTTGCAGTATATATCATGCAGTTTGTGTACATTTATATAGCACATGCAAATACTGCCTTTTCAGGCATTTGCAGTGTTATACTTGCAGTTTATACTTAAATAACAGCTGCATTCATTCTAATGTTTTGTTTTCAATATTTTCTTGATAGAGGAATCACACACACATATATACATGTATATAAAATAGTCTGCTAAGTTTTGTTAATAACTTGATTGTTTACCATTCTTTTTGATGTTTGAAGTACTTGTTGGTGCCAAAGACTGCCAAGTTGAAAATGTGGCTGAAGTGATGAGCCTGTTGGAAACTGGGAATGCCGCCCGTCATACAGGCACAACACATATGAATGAACACTCCAGCCGATCTCATGCTGTTTTTACAATCAGCATTAGTCAACAACAACAACTTGTGTCGAACCAAAAGGATGTAGATTCTGCACCATACTCAGGCCAGCTTATTGCTTCCAAATTTCACTTTGTGGACCTTGCAGGATCAGAAAGAGTGACAAAAACTGGGAACACTGGTGAAAGATTCAAAGAATCAATTCAGATCAACAGTGGTCTATTGGCTCTGGGAAATGTGATAAGCGCTCTTGGAGACCCAAAGAGAAAAAGTGCACATATTCCATACAGGGATGCTAAAATCACACGTATTCTTAAGGATTCCTTGGGAGGCAATGCCAAGACTGTCATGATAACTTGTATTAACCCATCATCTTCTGATTTTGATGAATCATTAAACTCCATCAAATATGCCAACAGAGCCAAGAATATTAGAAATAAACCTGTTGTCAACTACAACCCAGACCTGGACCGTATTGATGAAATGGAGCTTGAAATCAAGTTGCTCCGGGAAGCTTTGCAAAACCAGCAAGTCAGTGGACAAACCCCTGTCAGTCAAGGGTCACAGGATTTGTTACAGGATAGAAACAAAATCCGTTCCCTTGAAGAACAGCTTGCCCAGCTTCAGGTAGAAAGTTTTAGCTACCGAAATTGCATAGAGGAAGCTTATGCATTCCTTGTTGACTTAAAAAATATTGCTAGCTTAACAAATAGTCAACAGGAGAGATTGCAGGATTGGTTCTGCATGGCTCAGGAACTAAAGCGAGAGGCTTCAGCTATTCCCAAAGTAAACAGTGGAAGTGAAGGTGATCAAGAAGGGCTGTGTCATATCACCATTCTTCAGCTGAAAAGGGAGCTGAAGAAATACCAGGTATTATATTGTCGCTTTAATTAAAGTGATAAAGAATATTAAAAGGAAACCCACATACTGAAGTATTACCAAACGTTTGGTTCTCCTGTCAGGGATTCTCCATACATTTCATTAATATTATTTACTCATTTGAGTTCGAAATCAAATTTTCTAGATGCCTATAGAAATTATTCATTATGATTGTGTGCTTGGTTATGTGAAAATCTACAATAACATTGTCACAGCTCAGGTGGGGTGTCACCTGACGCTGCCACCACTCTGGTTCCAGGCTCCCTTGAGAAGGCCCAGAGCACCCTTCCAAGACCTTTAGACCTCCCTTTTGGCCGAATAATAGGCGTGAGGACCAGACAGAGTGAACAATGAAAATAGTTTATTTTATAGGAGGTCAAACAAATAAGGTGCAGGAATAGTAACAGTAAGTGGGTGAAAAGAAAAGAAATCAAATGCCCTAACATGTCTAAATATATACTGTCCCTAGTTCACTATCAAGTGGCCTTAGACTACTCACCCTCCCCTCAGGATGAGGGTTTCTTCCCACAGCAGCCTTCCTTCTGGCTCTGCCCTCTGGGAAGAAGAACAGCTTTCCCTCTTGTACCAGTTCCTATATTCCCCAGCCCTATTGGACAAAATCGGCGCCAAAACTTCCCAAAGTCTTCTGGGGTTTGTAGGCCCAGCCTCCCTTACTGCTAGCCAGGCTCCCTGGGCCTAGTAGGCCTCTGGTAGCACAGCCCAGATAATATCCACATTTTGCTGATCAATGATAGTTGTAACAGTTAACATTTTATAGCAATAATTAAATTATTGAGAATCTGAAATTATATCTTGTGTCAACAATACCCATGTTTATATTTGTATTCAATTGCTTCAAAACATTAAAAAGTGCTAAAACCCTTTTATGGGTTTTCTTAATAGTACAGATTTAATTCATTTTATGAAAGGAAAAAACCCCTAGATTTAGCTGAATGAACAGTAATATTCACTAATTAATGAAATCATAGAACAAAGTTTGAGTCCAGTGGCACCTTTAAGACCAACAAAGTTTAATTCTGGGTATTCTGGGTGCATGTACATTTAACTCAAACTTACTTCCCACATCTTATTATCTGTATGCTAATTTACTGCTCTTCACAGACCTTACCAACTGTATTATTACACTCTCAGCTGTACTTATGCATCTTGACTCTAATTAGCCCTTCCTGACAACTAATCCCCCCCAATTGTAACATTTGATACATTTCAGTGTATCTGAAGAAGTGTACATCTACATATGCTAAGTCTCTCAGTTCTTGCTTATACCCAAAATTCAACTTTGTTGGTCTTGGAGGTGTCACTGGACCCAAACTTAGTTCTCACATCTGTTTGTTAGCTCTGTGTGCTAATTTGCTGCCATTCACAGGTCTTACCAATTGCTTTAATCTAATCTCAGCTATACTTATCACCCAGCTCCTTATGTATCTTGACTAACTAGCCCTTCCTGGCAGCTAACCTCCCCATCCCACCCTCTCTCTACCTATATCTAAGGCTTGAGGAAAACTGTTTCAATGTATCTGAAGAAATGTACACGCACACAAAAGGTTATACTCAGAATTAAACTTTGTTGGTCTTAAAGGTTCCATTAGACTCAAACTTTGTTCTGTTGCTTTAGACCAACATGGCTTTGCAACTTTGCCTTTTATTGAAGATCCCAAGTGTATGACTTCATAATACATACAGCAAAAGAAAGCACAAGTATATTTCTTCTCAGTCATGCTTCTGAGTGAGAAATGAAAAATGTTCAGAAGGAGTGTTACACAAGAAACAGTGAAAGAGAAACATGCTGGCAGCTTGAAACAACTGTTTCTGCTAGGTCACACCGTAGCTTGCCAGTCTTCACCTCTTAATAGTGCTAGACACATACACACAGTCAATAAATCGAAACTCATTTTCCCGTTTCAGTCATGGCTTCTTATTCCCATTTCCTGCCCCTCCAGATAGAAACATCATATACTAAATGCACAGAACTTTTGGATGGCAATTTTGGTTGCTTTGTTGAAACTGTGGGTGGTTTTTTTTTTAAGGAACAATTTGCTGTGATATACAACATAATGCTTTCTGGATTATCAAAGACTAATCAGTAACAAATACCTAAACATTTACCCCTTTTAACTAGTTGCTCTCCTATATTTTAGCTGAATAAACGTAACAGTTTCATCGTTCTTCTGTTGTTTTCATATTCACTGTCTTTATGTACTGGTACTCTTCATATACGGCAGCTCTGATTTCCAGAATTTTCTGTTGGGATGTAGAATATTGTTATGTGGAGACATTATAAAATCATATCTACTTCATGAGATAGTTAATGCAAATTCTATCAGGTACTGGTACGATTAGTATGTAACTTGTGAAGATCGCACTGTTTCATATGATTATACTTACTTCCACTTTATCACTTAGCAAGCACTGGCTACAGATGCAGATGTGTTCAGTGAGAAAGAACTTGAACTAAAGGAACTACAAGATCAAATACAAAAACTGATTAAGGAGAATCAAGAATATCTGGTAGCATTCAAGGAGGCACAGGAAACAAACAGGCTACAGGTAACTTCCCCTGTCTGTGGCTTACTTGGTAAGTTTTATTCTGGATATAAGCTTTCATGTGCATGCACACTTCTTTATATATATTGAAATAGAAGTCATCAACCATTACATATAGGAAGAGGGTGTTGCCAGGAAGGGCTAATTAAAGTCCAGATGCATAAGTGAACAGATCAAACTCTATACCAAAGGATAAATGGACAGAAAACTGACATCAGGAATCACAAAGCTGAGAAACCTGTAGGAGAATACTTCAAACCTTCTAGGACATTCAATGGGAGACTTCAGTGTAGCTGTTTTATTACAAAGCAATTTCAGAAACAGGCTAGAACGGGAGATTGCTGAGTTACAAGTTATTACAACCCTTAGGATAGTGGAACCCCCAGGGCTTAACAGAGATATCACTTACCTCACTACACATGTTAGTGGCACCTTTAAGACCAACAAAGTTTTAGTCTAAGTATAAGCTTTTGTGTGATGCACGCTTCTATTCTGTTATTATAATCTATTATAATGAGGAATCTAAAATGAAACTTTGTTGGTCTTAAAGATGCCACTGGACTCAACCTTTGTTCTGCTGCTTCAGACCAACATGGCTACCCATCTGAATCTATACACTTGCTGATGTAATTCAGTTTGTGCGTCTGTATGTAAACTCTTTTTTATGCTGTGTGCTAATTTGCTGCTATTCACAGGTTTTACCAATTATCTTAATCCAATTTTGGCTATATTTGTTGCTCAGTTACTTATGCATCTGGACTCTAATTAGCCCTTCCTGGCAACACCCTCTACCTATATGTAATGGTTGGTGACTTTTCTTTCAAACTATATGAAGAAGTGTGCATGCACACAAAAGCCTATACCCAGAATAAAACTTTGTTGGTTTTAAAGGTGCCTCTACTCAAACTTTATTCTGCTGCTTCAGACCAATATGGCTACCCACCTGAATCTATTGTTAAATCTACATAAAATAAGAATCACAATTCTTCTCTAAACGCAGCTAAAACACAGAAAATAATATGGAAACATAAATTTCAGTTAAGCTGTGTGGGAATTTAATGGAGTTGGATCCAGGGTGTCCATGCACAAGTGCAAGGCACTTCTCTCATGCAAGGTGAGGGATCTGTGTTTTCCCACAGATTTCCCACTTGAGCCACAGCCTTCTCTTCTTTGCTTGCTGGAGCCCCAATCCTAAGGAATAGCTTTTCTGGCAGCGTTGGGGAGTGTGTGAAGAAGTCAGGGAGAGATATGAAAAATCCATTATGTGAAAAAAGCTATACTTCTTTAGATGCAACATGTGTGTTCGGTGATCTGTTTCATTTTTGGGGGGTAGTTATATATTGGCAAAAATTTGCTTTGATTGACTTTATAAATCCAAATGTATGAATATAAATATTAATTTCTGAGCCATTTATCATTCACTTAATTATACCTCTTGACTTAATTTTAGCTTCAGAGTATCATAACTCTACTGATGTCTTAGCATAAGTTAATTCAGTGTTTATTTGTTAAAGCAATGTAGACAATCCCACAGAGTGCTGCTTACTAACAGGCAAAAATATTTAATACGTAACAGATGTGGCATAGTTTGCTGCAAGTTCCATAGATTGTAATTCTAAAGGCGTTCCATAGATTGAAATTTTAAATTCTGAATATGTATTCCATTCATCATTTTGCTAGAATGGAAGTTGAGTTATGTCAGACGCTACTAGTATTTCTAAAGTACAGAGAAATTCAGTAGCAAAATGTGTGGAGTTAAGACTACTGTGTTAGCCATTAAAGGTTGAAGTTGCTCAGTTTTGCAAAATGTTTGCTAAATATCATTTTTCTTCTATTTCAAGAGAGAGAAGATGGTGGAACAACAGCTTATAATTGACCAGCTGAATGACAAATTAGAGAAAATGGCTAATAGTTCTGCCTCCAGGAGTGATTGTGAAGATGGTCCAGCTGCTCTAATACCTGCTAAAAGGCCTTATAGTGTCCCACTAACTAAAAGGCTTGTACAGTCCATTAATACGCCAGTGGGGTTGGATTCTCGAAAAGTAAATATGAAATTTGGCATTTTCCTAATTACTGTAGTTGATGTACAAAAGAAACAATTCTTCTCTGTGGTAATCTACCATATCTTTTTGCATGCCACTGCTTCAGGTATATTGAGAAGGCTAGTGATCACATAGGAATTTGCAGCTTCTCCTTCAGTACAGAAGAGTTTCATGGAAAGGGTAATTCCTCCCATCAGATTTGGGAATCAGGATTTTCTACAGATTTCGAAACCATTGAACATATGATTATGAAGTGCCCTGTATTCAACAAATGGAGGGCTAATTGAGTTACCCCTTTACTTAAAGATATGGAATTGCTAAATGTGCGAGCCCAGGTGTCATGGCTACTATCAGATACAAATGATTGTGTCACCCTCTCATTGGAAAAATTCATAGGCGCAATAATCTAATATGAAAGAAATAAAACCTTGTTTGAGTGGCGAGCTGATTTGGGCTTGCCCGCAGACCCAAATGGATCCAGTGCGGCTTCAGGCGGCTCTGTGAGATCCTAAGCCCTCTGGCACCTCATTAGATGAGCTTGTAGAGGACTGGCATGGCCAACTCTCGACAGCCATCGACGAGATTGCTCCCTGGCGCCCTCTGCACCCCCGTGCTGGGCCTGCTCCATGGTTTACCCAGGAGCTGCGGGTGATGAAACGGGGGCTGAGATGGCTAGAGAGGCAGTGGTGGTGGGTTTGCAACGAAGCCACACAAGCATCCTATAGGACGCTTATGAGATCCTATGAGATGGCAGTCAAGGCCGCAAAAAGACAGTACTATGCAGCCACGATTGCGTCTGCAAGTTCACGCCCAGCACAACAGTTTAGAACAATTCGATCTATCACGGCTCTGCGACAAGGCAGACTAAACTATAGAGAATTGGATATTGGCTGTGAGGCTTTTACGAGCTATTTTGCGGATAAAGTCTTGTTGCTCTGTCGTGACCTCCCAGCCACAGTTGATACAGTGAATGAACTCAAGGCTCCTAGCATGTCTTCTGGTCACATTTTGGATTATTTCAACCTGCTCAGTCTAGAAGAAGTTGACAGATTGCTCTTAACTGTACGCCCTAGTACGTGCTGCCTGGATCCGTGCCCATCATGGCTAGGCAAAGCGGCCCGAGAGGGGCTGCGGAATGCCATGTGGGAGATTATCAACAAGTCCCTCTTAGAGGGACAGTTCCTGGAGGCACTTAAGGAGGCAGTGGTGTGCCCCCTCCTGAAAAAACCATCTTTGGACCCGGCCGAATTGGCCATCTATTGGCTGGTTTCCAACCTGCCCTACTTGGGCAAGATAATAGCGAGGGCAGTAGCACTTCAGCTACAGAGCTTCCTGGATGACGCTTCTATCCTAGATCCCTTCCAGCCCAGCTTTCGCCCTGGTCACTGGACGGAGACGGCATTGGTCACCTTCACAGATGACCTCCAAAGGCATCTGGATCGGGGCAGATCAGCAGTGCTGTTGCTGTTAGACCTGTTGGCCGCTTTTGACATGGTCGACCATCAGCTACTGACCCACCGCCTTGCCGACGCTGGAATCCAGGGGGTAGCCTTATAGTCGCTTGTTTCCTTTCTCCAGGATCGGGGACAAAGTGTGGTGCTGGGGAATCAAAGGCACCCACAGGAATCGGGGCGGTGCTGTCCCTGATGCTTTTTAACATCTATATGCGCCCTCTTGCCAGATTGTCCAGAGGTATGGACTGGGTTGTCATCAGTATGTGGATGACACCCAGCTTTTTCTATTGTTGGGCGGCCGATCCGACTCCAAACTGGAAGTTCTAGACCGGGTGTTACAAGCCGTGGCTGGTTGGCTTAAGCTGAGCCGGATGAAATTGAATCCAGTGATTCCTGTGCCTGAGCCGCAGCAGTCTGGGTGTAGGGATCCCACTTCTGACCTTTGTTGGGGCGCCATTGGTGCCAGTGCCGAAGGTTAGGAGCCTGGGGGTGCTCCTGGATGCCTCCTTAACAGTGGAGGCCCAGGTAGCAGCCACTGCTAAGCTGGCTTTTTACCATCTCCGGCTGATTAGGCAGTTGGCTCCCTTCTCCCTCTGAGCAGAGGACATCTTGTTGGGAGGCAGGAACCAAAACATCACTTCCTGTCCTCTAGTTGGGACACGCCCCTCAACTCAGATTCGTTCCTGCCTCAGTAGGGAGAGCAGCACTCTGTTGGCACTCGTGCCTTTTTTCCAACTATTTTTCCAACTGTTTTTTCTTCAAATTGTATCCTATTCTCTACTAAATTGATTCCTAAACTGTTATTCTCTTCTCCTCTACAACTTTAATCCCACCACCTCCTCAACCTTCCACCTCTCTCTTTTCCTGCCCGACGCTCCGACTGGGGCATGTCGGAACGGGACGATTCGGACAACTTCTCAGACTCTGAGAGGGGAGAAGACTTAACACCGGCGCAAGGAGAACCAAAGAGGGGGAAAGACATGTCTTCCACCCCCACTACTGCAGCTAGTGTGTCGGCGCCAAAAGACAAATGCGCCAAAAAGTGGTCCTGCTCTCCGACTCCAGAGCACGCCACAGGCACCATTTTGAAATAGCCGGCTAAGCGACGAACCCCTGAGGAAGTAGGGGAGGGCTGCGGGCGGCTGTCGCTGCTACCATAAGCCATAACATTGACTCGGACAACATCACAGACCTTCCTAATGCCCAAGGAGAGGGAGAGCAGCTTGTACCCCACACACCAAGGATTCTTCCGGTCTACTCGTGAGTAGCCCCAACAGGGGCGCCAACGTGTTATTGACTCCTGAGGAAATGCAATTTTTCAGACAGGCTGTGAGAGAGGAGGTTGCTAATCTTCACAGCAATCCACACTCTGGGGATTTATGCCATGATTATACACATGCCCATTTCAGCCACTGCCCCCAGGGTGTCTTGAATAGAACCTTCCCTCAGGAGGAAAGACCCCGCTAGCCAACAGAGGCGGCCAGGAAAGACCACTATTGCACTATGAGAGAAGACCCTCAACGAGATCTTTCTCAGCTCGGAGAAAGTGAGATTGGTGACAGGGAGGAAGGAGAATTCTTTGATGAGGAGGAAGAAGACGAGATGGAAGTTCCTGAACCTTCCACGACATTCTTTAAACCTGAGGATTATCAATATTTACTTTAAAAGACTATGTCTACCTTAGATCTTATTCCCAAACCTAAGGCAGAAGACTCCAACAGCTCCGAACCCACTGATGGGTCTAGACCCAGAAAGAGCAAAGACTATTTTCCCAGAGCCCCCAGGTTTGAGAAAGTTTTTCCCTTCCCTGAATTTTTAGAGAAGCAATTAGTTAAAGAGTGGACCAAGCCTATGGCGAATAAGCATTGCCCTCCTAATGTTAAGAAATTGTATGCTCTGCCTAATTTTACCGATAAGCTCTTACAGGTCCCCCTAGTGGACGCACCAATTACAGCACTCCAAACATCAGGACTGCTTTCTGAAGATGGCGAAGGCATGGTGAGAGATAGTTTGGATAGGAAAGCAGAATTTGCACTGTGAAAAGCCCATGAAGCCACAGCCATAGCCATCAGAGCGGCAGCTACAGCCACTGTGGTGGCTAGGACCTCCACAGCTTGGTCTAAAAAGATGGTCCAGCTGATTTCAGACTCTAATAGGCGCTTGTCTGAAGGAGCGAACAGACTTCTCCAAGCCTCCTCCTTCTCTGCCGATGCTACTGTTGATGCCATGAATCTTTTCCTCTAGAGCACTGGCCTCCACCGTTGCCACCAGAAGAACCCTATAGCTACGAGCCTGGCAGGCCAGTCTACATGCCAAGGGCATCGTCACAGCATATCCCTTCCAGGGCGACCGACTTTTTGGCGATGCACTAGACAAGAAACATGTTCAAACAAAGGACAAAAAGAAAGTGATATCTAGATTGTTGCGCAGAACAGACAGGAAGGGCCTGGGCAATTTTGCCTTTCAAGGTCAACAACCCTCCTACAGGTTCAACAGGGACGGCAGGCGCTCATCGTGGGGAACTTCCAGACAGAGTTTTAGAAGAAATCCCTTTCACAACAGACCAGGCAGATCTTTCTCCCCCAGGGATGACAAGTTTGGCAGAGACAACAAGACTCCCAAGGCATGACTATGAATCAGCACCAGTGTGGGGGATGTCCGCTTCTATTCCATCAGACTTGGGTCGAATCCAATGCAGACATGTGGTCGCAGGAGGTCACCGGCAAGGGGTACTCCATCGAATTTCTAAGCAGGCCTCCAGACCACTTTGTTCCCACACCATTAATAAAGGACTCAGTCAAACTGAAAAGGACCTTGGATGCCATCCATCATCTCTCCAGCATTCTAGCTATTGAGACTGTCCCCCCAGAAGAGAAGGAGCACGGTGTTTACTCCATCTTTTTCACTGTCCCCAAGAGAAACGGAAGCTGGAGAGCCATTCTGGACTTAAAATTCCTAAACAAGTTTGTAAAGTTGAGACGCTTCCGTATGGAGACCCTTCACTCTATCGTGGAGGTCCTTCAGCCGGAAGAGTTCCTGACATCTATTGACCTCACGGAGGCCTCCATGTGCCCATCTTCAGCGGTCCTAAGACGCTTCCTAAGATTTTGCGTTCAGGGACAACACTGGCAGTTCAGGGCTCTGCCCTTCGGCTTATCAACTGCCCCCAGAGTATTTTCCAAGATGCTGATTCATCCCATCGTTCTCCTAAGAGAAAAAGGGATACGGGATACATGTCTATCCGCATCTAGACGACCTTCTGATCTGCTCAGCCTCATGTTCCAGGTCTGTTCTAGATACCTAGTCCACCATACAGTGCCTACAGTCGCACGGTTTCCTGGTGAATCTTCAGAAGAGCTGCCTCACTCCGTCTCAGTCCATAGAGCACCTAGGAGTGATATTGTACACAACTCAAAACAGTATGTTTCTGCCCAACCCCAAGGCAGAAAAGATCCGCGACCTCTGTCAGCAGATCATCAGGAGCAGACAGATTCTTCTCATGACCCTAGCCAAGCTGATGGGCCTATTCATTTCATGCATAGACAC